CTGAATTATAAACGGTCATCAAAAATCGTAGCGTTGTGGTTTCAGTCGGACATTCGTTCTCCCTTTTTTACCTCTTCGTGTGTGTGTGTGTGTGTGTGTGTGTGTGTGTGGGTGTGTGTGTGTGTGTGTGTGTGTGTGTGTGTGTGTGTGTGTGTGTGTGTGTGTGTGTGTGTGTGTGTGTGTGTGTGTGTGTGTGTGTGTGTGTGTGTGTGTGTGTGTTTTAATGTCTCGTTCTCTTTCCACTGAGTTTTGGTTTCTTCAATAGGCATTCCTCTAAAAAGGTTTGAGCTCTGCAAAGAGTGTCACAAGGTCAGGGCACACCTCACCCCCTCATCCCCATTGTCAAACTGATAACCTCTCTCTCTCTCTCTCTCTCTCTCTCTCTCTCTCTCTCTCTCTCTCTTAGATAATGATCCATCATGATAATGGAGCTTTAATGGCTGCAGTAAAACTCGTCCTCAGCAAAACTCTGTCCCAAACACAAACACACATTTAACTCCTCACCTTCATCTTCACTTCTTCTTCCCACTGTTTACTCGGCCACTTGATTAATCTGGACTGAAACTTTAGCCTCTTGCTACACACACACACACACACACACACACACACACACACACACACACACACACACACACTGGCAGGAGCCATAATTCTGGCTGCACTAACTTTCTTTCCACTCACATTAAGTCATCCACATTTTGTTTTCTACCACACACTCTGATCTCCTGAGGCAGCATCCAAACTGAAACCACACGACCTGTTTATATTTAAATCTCAGGTCCTAATCAAGCTTTGGGTTGGATGTTCAACATTAAGTAAACTGCTTAGCAACAGCAGGACCATTTTGCTACTGGAGGATTAAATTATTATTTTACCTTTTGTTAAAAAACATGAGCCAGTTTTACTAGTTTTGGCCATGAGCACACGTTTTATTTTTATAATGAGTGTTTTTGTGTGTGATTGAAGGATTTTACAGTGCAGCTTTATGTTGAAGCCATCAGTCATGTTTGAAGTTTAGTTGAGTCTTGTATTTGTGGCACGGTAAACTGTGCTGCTGTAAATCAAATTGTGAATCATTCCTACGTTTTATTTTGGCTTTATGATTAAATAAGTCACTCATTATGATGTATTCTTTACAGTGGAGCACCAAATGAGGAGCATGACAGAGTAAGATACTGAAAGACACAACTGTTTGAGTTAAAACTGAAAAATAACCACATTTAAATCAGAAACACTAAAATATTTAAAGTGGCAGTGTGTAGTCTCCTGGCTCTAGGGGGCAGTACATACATTTCAGGGTAGTTTTACACCATATCTCCGTGAGCGTCGCTGGTTTAAAAAACATTACAGTAAAAACTGTGACCTGTGGAGCAGAAAGCATGCGACCTCGGCGCGACTCATCAGACTTTGAATGTCCTTCAGTTTTATTCCGGTGAGAGAATGCCATGCCGATGCTAGTTTCCCGTTCTGCTCAGAGTCTTGCACCTGCCGATGACATCATCATGCTATGGCAATACCACTTGGACAAAATATATTGCATCTGTTTTTCTATTCTGTTCTTTCTGGGAATGGAAGGGAATGTGGGTATGCGGGGCCTTTTTAATTTGTTAAGCACTTTGAGTTGCATGCAATGTAGGATAAAGTGCTATATAAATAAAAGTTGATTGATTGATTGATTAACGTAACTATCATAAGTCGCATGTCCAGCCAGCCATCTAGTGTGATGTCATCGACAGGACCAGACCTGAAGGAAACATGGCATCTTATATGGCATCCCCCAAAGGCGCTAGACCCACACCCTATGTACTTTATACCTGATTTTTATGGTTATATGGTACAAAGCCACCAACATTTTTCAACGACTGGACATAATTTTAGTCATTTTCAACAACATTTAATGGATATTTCCAGAGGTTAAAGGTAAAAATACACACTGTCACTTTAAGAACACTCTTGTTTTTTTTTTAAGTTTAAGTTTTTATCCAGAAGACGTCTATGTCAGCTAGTTATATTTCAGTGTGCTGCTAACATGCGTCATGCTTTATGTTTGATCTGCCTCTACACTGAGTGATTCAGGTGTAGGTCAAGGCTGTCTGAGAAAGCATCACACACACTCACTAAATGCTCCTTTTTATCTCTCCTCAATTGTCTTCTTTCCTTATCTTTATTGCTGTGTTTTTCTGGGATATTGGAGCTCAAATGAGAAGCTGTTAACAGAATTACCTGCAAACATGGTTAAGCTGAAATATTGGAGACGTTTGCCGTAAAGCACACACACAAACACACACTGTGTCCTGAGGACATCTGGGTCATTGTGGATGAGAATGATGAAAACAGGTCTGTAACAGAGATAAAAATCAGACCATCTTCTCACTGCTCCAGCTGGAATGTTGTTGCCATTCGTGCGTCTCAGAATCCAGTTTCACAGCCTCACTGATGGTTTTTGGATCCAAGTAAGAGACGTGTGTTTCCTATTTACATCACCTGGAAAGAGTGACCGAGTCAGACGAGAGTGTGGGTGTGGGGAAGGGTGAGTGCCAGTCGAGCTTTCAAACCAACCAAAAGTTGGTCTGACAACAGGGCAGAGTGGGGCGGAGCCAAGCATCACTCCTTCTATCCTCTAATCATTGATTCTGTTCAATCCCATTAAAAGCTGGTTTCCCTGCTTTTAGTCTTCTGTTTCATTTGCCCTCCTTTAACTCGATCTTCCCTAATTGTGATGCCTCATATGGATCATGATCATCTAAAACACACACACACACACACGTGCGCACACACACACACCACCTGTACTGTCTGTTAAATACATCTCTGCTGCCTGCCTCTAATCAGCATTTCTGATAACCTTTGATATACTTTAAATCTGTTTTAGATTTGAGTTTATATACCAAGATAATTGAACATAGCTTGAATTTGTCATCTAATTTTACAAATTCCAGATCAGTTGCGTGTTTGCGAGTTGGTCTTTTGTGCAGCTGCTGTTGAGCAGGATTCAGGATTTCTGTTCAGCTCTGGCATTGATTCTGATATTTACTAATCCTGATTTTTCTCTAAAAGCTGCATTTAACAAAAATCTATTACCACAAATATTCCAATTTGGGGTAGAACAAACAACTGACACGCTGATTTTTATAGAGTTGCTCCAAACTGGCCTAAGCTATCCTGACTTTGATTCTTTGATGTCGACTAGTTATCCAGACCTTTTCAAAATCAAGCATCCTGACATCTTTCAGTAAAGCTTCTCATTTTTCAATCTGGACTTAATAAAACTAGCTTCTACATGGGTAATCAGCTGTATATGTATGTGATTTATAGGCAGAGTTTCATTCATCATTAATGTTATTACTCTGAGCAGTTTTACACATGAATAACAGCTCTGTGTTCTAAAATACCACCGAGGTTTCCTGGCTGGAAGATGAGAGGAGAGGAAAGAGGTTAGGATATAACAAGGGAATATTTGCCAATATCTGACCCAGGCCTCACACACACACACACACACACACACACACACACACACACACATATAAGTGTGGGCTTATGTTACATGACTATTTTAGCGGCACTGTTATTGATACAGATGTATTGGTCATTAAGCCTAGATTTGACGTCTCAGCTCGAGCGCCGCCAAAGTAAATAACATCAGCGCTTTCTAGCAGAAATGTTCCACTGTGTGTGTGTGTGCGTGCGTGTGCGTGCGCGCATCACCTTAAACATGCTGAGAACAGCCCTACTTTAAAGGTCAGTCCCCTGGCTCTGTGATCCATTAGCTGTGAGTGAACTATTCGGGTGTGTGAAGTTAGCCTGGCATAAGGAGAACTACGACCCATGAAAACAGGAGCAGAACCAGAGATTTGGGGTTCCTAGACTACTAGACTCTAGTAGTAGACTCTACCACGCAGCAACAAGTCCAGTGTCCCATACACTGCACAACCCCCAGGTTATGTCCAAACCACACCATCAAAACAATCAGGAAGTAAGGCTTGGTGCTTAGCATAGAAGACTGTCTTGGAAGCAGGTTGAATTATGGGGTGGTTTGGCCCAGGGGGTCTTGGGTTAGCTAGTAGAGTCTACTAGAGTCTAGTAGTAGACTCCAGTAGTAGATTCTACTATTAGAGTCTAGTACTACTAAAGTCTAGTAGCAGACTAGTAGAGTGTTGGTCAAGTTTTGGTCAAAAACAGCTTTCCCAGTAATTAGCCAGGTCCATCCTAACCTAAAGAAGATTCTGACAGACAAGGTGCTGTGGTTGTTGTATTTAAAAACAATATATGAGTGTTTAACAGTTGATTAGTTCTTTGCAATAGTCTTAATTTTATTTTTACAAGGTCTTAAAAAGTCTTGAAAAAGTCTTTAATTTTGAGATTCCTGCATACACCCTGTTTTTATGCCCGGAAGGTCGTACGCGACCGAAACTCGTCGCCTTTTTCTTGCTCTAATAAAACGCTTCTCAGAGTGACTCGGATCAACTATTTTTCTTCCTCGCCCACATCCGGTGATGTTTATGCTTTAACATTGGTTTTCTTCGTCAACTTTGAGAACAAACATAAACACAGTTGTCTGTGGGCGACGGTGGCACAGGAGTTAAGTGCTCGTCCCGTAATCGAAAGGTTGCAGGTTCGAGCACCGCTAAGTCTGTCGCTGCCGTTGTGTCCTTGGGCAAGACACTTGACCCACGTTGCCTGCTGGTTGAGGTCGGAGGGACCGGTGGCGCCAGTGCTTGGCAGCCTCGCCTCTGTCAGTGCGCCCCAGTACAGCTGTGGCTACATCGTAGCTCATCCCCACCAGTGTGTGAATGGATGAATGACTGATTGTGTTGTAAAGCGCCTTGGGGGGTTCCAGGACTCTAGAAGGTGCTGTATCAAATACAGGCCATTTACCATTAAAACCTCACTATTGACTACATTATTCCATTGATTCTATGGTTAAAGATAAACTAAAATTTGACTTTAAAATATTTGTTGTTTTAAATAAATCTCCCTTCTGCTGTTCTGTCCTCTTTCAGTTGGAGGCGGAGTTAGCGTTGTGTGAGAAGGAGGAGGCGGAGCTCCAGGAGTACGCCAACCAGGTCCTGCAGCAGATTTCTGATCGATGCCCTGATATCTTGGAACAAGTCGTCAACGCCTTGGAGGACAGCTGCTGACAGAACACACACACACACACACACACACACACACACACAGGTTTGCATGCATTTAGTTACTTTTTAGCACACATGCAGAAAGCATCAGATGCCTCCTGTTAGATCCCACACATCCCATGATAGTCAGAGAAAACCAGAGTTGGATGAGGTTCCTGCTCCTTGAAAGTGTTCGTGAGAGTAAACGTACAATTCCACAAAATGTGTTTAATCATAAGAACTGAACCTGTGTGAGCCGGAGGAAGCTGTTGTGTTTAGGTCGATTTACGGGCCTACAGATGAAATCAGAATAGATATATTTTTCTAACTGCTCAGAAGACAAAGACGGCATCTCTGCTGCTTCAACACTTGGACCATCGCGTGTCTCAAAGATCAGCAGTCGCTCTGAGGAGGAACGTTTCTGATGCCACACTTGCACGTTGTTGCCACATATTTGTTTGATAAGCTCACTGAAGTGTTTATTTCAGCTGCCTTTTAGCTTTTTACATCATTTGCTGCTATTTTTTCTTGTGTTTTCTTCTCAAACTCTTCTTCTTTTAGCGTTTACCTCCAGATTGTTGTCAGCTGTAAAGATAGATGAGTCATCAGGGAGACATGACGCTTTAGCCCGTCAGAATGAAAGACACGCATCTCGCAGCAAACCTTTATTAAAAGCACATCTGCGCTCTGTAGATGGTTATGGGTTGTTTAAAACTTGTGGCTTTGTTCAGTTTGGGCGTTTTTGCTAAAATGAGCTCAGATAATTCCTCTTAATCCTGACTGTGTCTTTGGAGTAAATGTGGTTAAACCTGAACTCCCCGTTTTCTCTAATGTCATCTTACTTTTTCAGGAGAGAAAGTAAATAGTTAAAAGTTATATAAATAGATATATTTTTTCTGGTTCTACATAAATTGTTGAATTAAAGATGTCATATCTTTGTTGGTATGCAGCTTGCTGCAGATCGTGCGGACATGTTTGCACCTACTCTTGGTTTTGTGTCAAAGTTTGTTTTATTTTAACTCGAAGCTTTTATTTCCAGCCTGAATCTCCTGATTCCTGTAGAACATCACCTGTTGGACTCGAGGCTTCAGCGTTCAGATTCAGATCAACTTTTTGCCTACCAGAGCTTGTTTTTGTTCGCCACAGATCAAAACCAAAATAAGGGCTTTGATATTGTCTGCAGCTTCTCAAACGGAAGATTTAATGATCCCACAGAGTTTATGGAAGGTTAAAAAAGAAAAAAGTTGGTTCATTTTAAGAAGAAAATCCCGTCGGATTTAAATCTCGTGTTGTAAATTCTCGTTGGCTTCTTGGGTTTTTCTTTTTTTCTTTCTTGGGTTGTCTGTTTAGCGATGGCTGAGACTCACTTTGAAGTTGTGGATTAAAAATTGAAATGAATGAATGGAATAAAATATGGATTTTATTGAAACTTTGATTCATTTCTTGTCTTCTTTGGCAGTTTTGCTGATTTAGTGTCTCGGTTCTGACCTGTTTGAACGAAACTCAACCAAAGGTATTAAAGGACCTGTATCTAGGACATATCTAAGGACCTTACAGAGCAACAGCAGACACAATTTGTGATAAAATATTACTGTTACATGTTATTTTCGTGACCCATTACTCCAACCGAGAAATGAGACGCTTGATTTGGATGAGATCCATACCAAGTTTATTTCAAACGCACATTTTAAAACAGTATGACAGCTGACCAAAGTGCTGAACAAGTGCAACAAAGATGAAACAGAAAGTATGAAAGTCAGATAAAGCCAGGATTCAAAAACAAGACAAAAATAACGGGCCTTAAGATGAGCTAGCGTTGGGGCCTGCTTCACGTGCAGATGAAGCACGTTCCAGTGCACCGGGTCTGCATAAGAAAAGCTCAGCCCCCCCCCCCCCCCCCCCATGAGATTTATAATGCACCTTGGGAAGAGAGCAGGTGATGGCACATGGATTAACAACATCTGTGTTAATTACACAATAGTACACAGCTGCAGACCCAGAGACCTGAGATTCACATTTGCTGCAGATTCACACTGTTGTGAATGTTTTTAATAAGCTGGCAAGTCAGGTTATTTTCTAACTAAAGGACTTTATTACAATCAGGAACAGATAGATGTATTTAAGTCCAAATAGTCCAAAATTCTTGTAAAAGCCGTTTCAAACGAACTGTCGCCATCTTGTTCCACTCCGGCGCATCGTCCCACCACCAGATGAATAGAGGGCCCTGATTGGCCCACAAAGCAAATAGGGTGCTGTAATTGGCCCACCATTGTGAACCACTCACAGCGCTCTATCAGTTTGAAACCCCAAAGAGGGCTGCCATGTTCCAATTGAGCGTTCCTAGACCAAACTTTGCAAAGCCAGAATGTGGTCTAGTTCACGAGGCTACGTTTTTAACAGATTAGACAATAACCTTTGAACCGAAAACACCAGAAGATGGACTGACAGCAGCAGTAAACCACAAAAACAATGGGGGGGGGGGGGGGGGGTTGTTCAGACCATCTAAGTAGAAGTTTCATACCCACAAAAGTACAAGTTAGGAATTGTAGGAACACACAAAGCTCTAAAGTAATGTAGCAGAAACATTTCCACTTTTCCCAATGTTGTTCATATTTTTCTGAAGACAGGTGGGGGGAAAGGTCGATAGCTCCACCACAATGATGCCGCGTCACTTCTACTCGATCAGAACCCGTTGGAGGTTCCTCCTTCACTTAGCCTTTGTCCTGCTGCTTGTAAAATATGTAGAAGGTATCTGTCCCGCTTCCTCAGGCCAGTTACCCCAGTAAAAACACCAAAGCTGTTGGTATCCCCTTGAGGTTTTTGATCACTTCTGTCCACTAGGGGACATTTTTAGAACATTCCCAAATGACCATGAAGAGGCATTCTGAGACTATTCTTCCAGCATTTAGCCAACTCAACATTTTTACTTTGGAGTTCCTTAATCCAAGGGATGATAAAAAAAAAGGACCTCCGAGTATTTTTCCAAGTGAATTCTCTCCACGACCCAGAGCTAGAAGTAGTGGCCATAGTTTTCCATATGTTAGGCCAATCTTCTTCAGATAAGGTTATTCCAGCTTCTTTCTCCCATCTGAGCTCATCGTTCATGCTGGACAGCTTCCTCTCGGTCTGCAGTACTGAGTTATCTAGAATTTAACATTTTTAGTCACTTTCCCTCCAGATTCATCTGCAAACGTTTGGCCTAAAGGTTTCCTTTCTTTGGACACAATATTTGAATTGAAATGATGTCTTAACTGAAGATAACTTTAAAAAAAAGTCTCAGTTCCCCACGTAGTAATTATCTGGCATTTCCTGAAAGGAGTGTAGGCCTTTATGAGATGAAATTTTCCAATATGCAGTGATGCTGAAGTTGCATCACTGGTGTTTCAGAGCTCCTAAAGATAGCATCCAGTTCTGGTGATGCTTCAGGAAGCCAGAAACTGCTTTTGAGGTGTTTTTCATGAGGAAATAACAATATGACGTGATCAAAAGCTCTGAAACGTGGATTTAGCATGAAATAGTCTTTAAAATTGTACTATGGTTTTTAAAATGAACGTCATTTTCTTATCGTTTTTATTTAGCATCAAGCCTGGATTTGATCTCGCAGAGGTCAAGGTTCATTTCTTTATAAAAGTAAAGTTTCATGCTACACTTTTCCTTCAGATTAGGATCCTTTTTCCTCGTTTCTCCTTCTCCGTTCCCTATCTTCTTCCACATGCAGGCTATAAAGGGCCCGTTATCTTGTCACAAGTGGTTTATTTTCCCCGCCGCCCACAATAGGAACAGAACTCCAGATGCCAGTCTTCTTTTATCTGTCTTCAGAAAGGCCTCATCGTGCAGCACACGGACAAAAACACTCCTTGTTGTCTGAAACTCAACAGCCTGGAAGCTGTTGGAGTTTGTTGTGCAGCTTTTATACAAACACACTTTGTGGATTTACCTCCAGCAGACCCACCCAGCTCTGCTGACCTTGACCCTTGACCTTCTCTGCTGAGAATTTCCACGCTGGGATCCTCAGGTTAATCAAACGTTCCAAAAAGCAGCTCGAGACAGTCTGTAAATGTAACACGCTGCGGTGTTTACCTCCACATATGGCAACGCTTGGGGCCTGCTTCTGCTCTCATGGAGGACGACTTCTGGTTTCTTCATCTACTGTCCTAATAAAAGCCAGCGGAGGGAGGCTGAGGAGGCGGACGGAGCATGGAGGAAGAGATACGGCTGCCTGACTTACTGATTTATGGGATGGAGACGGTTTGATAGAAAAGTGGAGACGCGGCACGATGAGCACCAAACGTTTCATCGTCTGTGCTCTCAGAGCTGCTGGGATTTTAACTTTGTCAGAAATATTCAACTTTACATGAAACGAAAAAGGATGCAAAAACCTTCTAAACTTTAATATTTAAACAAATTTAGGAGGATTTAAATGTGGAGCAAAAGTTTTAATTAAATTCAGATGAAAATGTTTTATAAATTTTATTAGTTTATTTTTTTGATGGACAATTGAAAACAATATTATTTACCCAAACAACTTTTGACCTTTAGATCTATTTAAATGTAAACTTTCCCTAAAAGTGGTTTTGTGTATTTGAGAGATTATTAAAAGTAATTAAAAAAATAAAGATGTGAATATTATTTATATTTGTAAAATAGCTTTTTAAAAACTATTTACAAATCAAGACAATTATTCAAAATAAAATTAAAACTTGGCCCCTACAGTTACTCCCAGATTAAAACACATGTTTAAATTCCGCAAACATTCATGGTAATTTACAGTTTTTGCAAGAATGTGTGAATAAAATCAGTTTAAAAAGCGTGGGAACTAACATTTGTGGGGAAATTTGTCATTTTATTTCCTACAATAAAACACGATGAAGACATCCCATGTGCAACACACGTGTACTGTAATGTGATGGGCAGGATCCCTGCCAAACAGAAGTTGTGTTTGTTTCTTCCTGCTGGGAGCGCCAGGCGAGAGGAATTTACCGTACGGAAGACTGGCGGGCAGCTGAGGTTTGACTCAGTGGTCCTGATGGTGCAAAAACAAGGGATGCAACGGTGTCGTGTGTTAGAGCTGCAAACGGTAACACCACGTTTTTCTCTGCAGAAAGTGACGATGAGATCCTGCAGATGTTGAAGCCTCACATCACAGGAATTTGTGGGAAAACATCAGGTGGTGTATCCCTTCCTTCATGTTCGTACAGGAAGAATAAAGATTTGACTGACTACAGGGGGGGCTCACATCGGCTCAGAGGAGATGTGGTTTCAATCATCACATCACACACACGGCTGAAGAGAGGAAGGACGAAGGTGATGAAGAAGAGGAAGAGAGTTGAAGCTGAGACCAAAACACGCAGCCGGGCTCATTTCAATGGTTTCATGCTAAATAACAAAAGACTGCAGCTGGGATTTGAATAACAACTTTTATTTTTCATTAGTTTGGCTGATAGTTTTTATTGTTCCTGAGAATTAAGGTTTTTTTTTTTTTGATAAAATAAATGACTGTTGGGGGGGGGGGGGGTGAAGGAGAGGACAGCAAGCAGGAAAAATCCTCTGAGAGGAAACAAAAACAATGTCAGAAGAGTCAAGCTGCTAAAATAAACTGTTTGCTTCTGATAGTCCAAACATCCTCCAACACCAACGGTGTCGTTCTCTTCTGTCCCTCCTGTCCTGTCACCCATAGGACAACAGAGACGGACACTTTCAGAGTTGTTGTTGATGCTTTACATCATTTAGCTTCTTTTAAAGGTGTGAATGGCTGAAAAACAAATTTTTAATTAATTTTTCTGATTATGATCGGCCGCTCTGAGATTTCATGCAGGATGAAAATAGTCTCCTACAGCTATCTCCTGCTTTAGCTTCTGATAGAAAATAGATTAGAATTAGAATAAGAATACCTTTATTAGTCCCTCAGTGGGGAAATTGCATTATTGCAATGCCTCAGGTACAGCAGGACACAAGATATCGCACAAGAGTACATAAAATGGTGAAACTCCAGGATTCGAAAAGCCTCACAGATCTATGTCACACTGCCACTTAGCATTCATGGACTCACCCATCTTGGCTCGTGACGGACAAGCTAACTGCTATCATTAGCAACTCCTTCACACAGCAGAACTCCTCCAGGCTTGTGTTATTTGTGGGAAAAAACATTACGTTGCAAGCCAGCGTTGCTGTTACCCAATCTGAGGTGATATGTCCAAATACCAGGAAATAAGACTCCGAATCCTGTCGTCTGAGGCTCAGCTGTGATGTGAACAACTTTTAGGGTCAAGAAATAGTGCACCAGTATATTTTTCCTCCCCAAGAACGACTTAGAAAGCATTCGTTCCTACTATAGACCACTGCAAATATATATATATATATATATATATATATATATATATATATATATATATATATATATATATATATATATATGTATATATGTATATATATATATATATACTAAATGAGTGATAAACTCCTTTATTGTTATTTTTGTCTCATTGGTGTCATTTAGTCTTTTTGTCACGGTGTCTTTGTCCACAACCTTCCATTCCTCCATTTTTCTGTTAGTTTCTGTTCATTTAGCATTTTAATGTGCAGCTCAGTTTGCACAGCCTCTGTCCATTTCACACTTTTGGGCAGAATGTGCTCTCCTATTTATTTATTGAACGTTTAATCCCTGATACAGGACCCCCCCCCCCCCCCCCCCCCCCCGTGTTTTTTAAACTTTTGTTCGTATTTGAGGTCAACAGGGTCAGAGTTCAACCTCATCAGATTTATCTGACTCAGCCATGCAGACTCACACAGGTGAAGTTAATGAAGCTAATTAGCTGATTAGTAATGATTTATTGTCTGGTGTCTCGGATAGGTTGCTGGTTCGAATCCCGCTCCCGAACAGCCTTTTTTTTATAACTCTGTCTCATTATGTTAAATTAGCCATGCAGTCAGCCAAAGGTAGAGGACAGGCTTACTGTTTCTCTCCTCTTCATCTTTCTTCTCACTCTGGACGCGTAAAGACTTTTGGAGATCTCCGGCGCGCGCCTCCTCCTCCTCCTGCTCCTCCTCCCTCCCTCTTCCTCTCTTTCTGTGTAATTATTCAGTTATAAAGTTTGTCCGTGAACAAACCACTCTTTACTCCTGACACCTGTTGCTGGAAGTCACGCGGAGCCTGAGCTCAACGGAGGAGCGTGAAAGTTTGGAAAAGTTTTGGACAGGACCACGGATCATCACGGACCACCAGCTGCCTCTCTCTCTCTCTCACACACACACTCACATACACTCATCTGTAAACTTCTCGTAAAAATAACGGCGCTTTTGTGACCCAACGAGGACACTACGGCATGAGGAGTGGAGGAGAAGAAGGAAGGAAGTGTGTCCAACAGAAGAGACGCTCGGAGGATTTTGCGTGTCTCGTAAAGTGGACCTGAAAGGTTTCGTCCCTCCATAAAACACAAACCTTCTGCTCCGTCTGGTCGCTTCCCAGAGAAACACTCGGAGGTGTCGAGTCCCTCCTCGGATGGTGAAAGTTTTCTTGAAGAGAAACTTTTAATCCTGCGCATCAGACCAGGTAAGACCTGCGTTTGTCTTTTTGTTTAAAAAAACTGCATTAACTTTAAAAAAATGGGGAATAAAGACCTCTCATGCAGATTTTTACTGGATCATTTTTACAATATTTCATCATTTGGACACTTTTCCAGCTTAACGATAGATTTGTCTTTGCGAGTCTTTATTTATTTGTTTCATCTTCACCATTAAAGTAGATTCCTCTGAGCTGCTGGATGTAAACAATGAGTCTGAACTTGACTTTTCCTGCTGAAGTCAAGGTGAAAAAGTTTGACTGGTGCTCCCTCCCCCAGTGTTTCCATTGTCAGTCTTCTTACATTACAGACTCATTCCGTGTGTGTGTGTGTGTGTGTGTGTGTGTGTGTGTGTGTGTGTGTGTGTGTGTGTGTGTGTCTGTGTGTGTGTGCGTGCGCCAGCCCCATCAGCCTGAATGAAGGCAACTCTCGCTCTGCGGTGGAGACCAGGACTATTTTGGTCCAAAAGTTGCACAAATGTTTCTCTCAGTTCAGAGTAATTGCGCTGCCTTCATTTGGGCCAGAAGCTCTTTCTGCAGCTCTGGGGCGAAATCTGGACAGCTATCATAAAACACACACAAGTGTCTCAGTGACACTGGAGGCGGATGTTTACCATCCACGAGGAACAGATCGCCTGTAACAAACTGATGCTATGCAGCGGTGATCCACTCTGATGAGTGCTATATAAATAAAATGTACTTACTCTTTAATGAGATGCTGTTGGAAGCTTCAGAGGAAAACCATTCTTCTTCTGCTTCTGAGGATGAATGTGGAAACTGTTAAAAAAACATATCTGATACAATTACAGCAAAAAGTTCTCGTGAAGTTCAGGAATCTGTCTTTAGTCTGTTTGGAATGTGGCTTTTTGTTTGTTTCACTGAAACTTTAAGTGATTTTTCATCGCGCGGCTGCGTCTAAATGTGCTGCAGAAGCATGACCGTGTTTAAAAAGGCTTTCAGAAAGCTGCACTGTAAATATACCCATTGATGTGGAAGAGGATGGATTATTAAAAGGAGGGCAAAGGTTCTACGAGCCAGAGGGGCCGGTTTGAGTCAGGGAAATGTAATGATTACCAAGAGAGTCACACAACTGCTAAAACACGCAGACATGGTGTGAGTAAATGAAGCAGGAGGAGAGATGAAAGGCAACAATGACAAAAAAGGAGAATAAAGTAAGTCCAACCTGCTTCAAGGTCCAAAAGAGGAGTGAAATGACCAAAAAGAGGCACAAACCGATTATTACAGAGGTCTAAAAATGACTTGAGAGCAAAGAAAAGACACGATTTCACAGAAGTGCACTCGTTGTCCAAAATGGGACAAAACCAGACGATGAGACATAAAAGACGAGGACAAAGACACAAAGGACAGACTGAGATGATAGAATTATACGATGATATTCACTACAGCAATATATAAAATGAGGAGTCAATAAAAATGACTACACTGATTAAAACTGGAGAAATTGAACGGAAAATTGAAAAAAAAATGAAACAAAAATTAAGATAAGAAATAAATATATTCAGATAAGTGTGTGTGTGTGTGTGTGTGTGTGTGTGTGTGTGTGTGTGTGTGTGTGTGTGTGTGTGTGTGTGTGTATGTGTGTGTGTGTGTGTGTGTGTGTGTGTGTGTGTGTGTGTGTGTGTGTGTGTGTGTGTGTGTGTGTGTGTGTGTGTGTGTGTGTGTGTGTGAAACAAGGGTTTTTAGTGCATCTCTGCTGGCGGAGAGGTGTAAGTCTGTCTCTTTTCCCATCAACAAGAAGATCGCTGACCTTTGACCCGGCTCATGTCTTGTAATAATTCAGACAAATATTTAGCCTTTAAAATAAGCTGTTATGAGCATTTTAAACGGGTGTTTTGCATTAATCTTTAGTTGCTCTGTCATTAAACAACATTTTACAGATTCTAGTCATTTTAACCTGATTTTACTTAAATGATGGAACTGATAGAGACTCCTTCAATCGATGACCTGAGTTTTTAGAGTTGATTTAAATAAAAGCACATGGTCTGTACTGGGGAAGTGGAGGCCATCTCTATCAGTGACGTCTCTAGTGTGTGTGTGTGTGTGTGTGTGTGTGTGTGTGTGTGTGTGTGGGGTAACATTAGATGTGTAGATGGAGCTGGTGAAAAGTGTTGCTGTCAACAGGTTAGCCATTAGAGAGAGATAATCTCTCCTCCTCCTGCCTCCAGGCTGCTTTCCCACCGTTCCTCTGTGTCCAGACGTTTCTGGAGCAACATTTACACGTTTAAAACAAAAGTGTATTTCTTACATTTTAAAACTAAGGAGTCTAGCGGGGTTTATAAAGTCTATCTGGTGTGACTCTGACTGAGGCTTCCTGAGCGTCTCGCTCCTCGGGACTCTGTCATTAGTGAGTGGACATTTGAGAAGACGGGCCGTCCCAAGCAGCCATAAGTGGTCCAGGAGGTCGTTCAGGAGGGCATTGTGAAGTTACAAGCACAAACTAATGTTTTAATAATAATGATTTCATTTATCAGAGGAACTAAGTGATCCATCCAATCTGAAAACTTACTTTGACCCATGAACTTTCCACTAAAGCCTCAACGATCATTTTGGTAAATGTGAGATGAGCCTGTGTGTTGTCCTAGGTCAGCAGGTATTTTGGCATCAGAAATGGTGTCATCTTTGCTGAATCATGACCTCTGACCTTTGCCAACTGAAACCTGCTGTGCTTCAGATGTTTCTTGTTGTTGAATTCCCTTAGAAATGGGCATGACTTGTTGCTCTTTGAGATCTTTTAACCTTCCTGTTCTTGTGAAGGTTCTGGGAGGGATTTATTGATCCTCGTGGTCTTGGTTTGGTCCTAATCAAGCCTTGGTTCGGCAGGCGTTTGATTCCAGTTAGAGCAAGCATCTGCACTTTTTGTTTGACCTCAAAGTTGAACATTGAATCCCTCTCACATGAAGTCGTTTCAGCAGCTTCATTCTTGACATTTTCAGTACCTTCCAGAATGAGCCCACTACCTCAGTCACCAATTCTTGTCGTGTCTATGTATGTATGTCTGATCTCAGAATTGTGTGTACTGAAACTAAAATTTCCCTCTGGGATTAATAAAGTATCTTTGAATTTGAATTCAGAGAACAAGCTGCTATCAGGGGTGGACTGGGACCAAAATTTGGCCCTGGCATTTTTACGAACCATCGGCCCTTAGAGCATCAAATGTGAGAACGTGGGGGTGCGGTGTTGCTGCTTGATTGGGGGGGGGGGGGGGGGGGGGGGGGGGGTCATGTCAACCCAAGCTGGGCAAGCGGCCCACCAGGACGGTGCCAGAATGGGCCAGTCCACCCCTGGCTGCTGGCCACAAATGCTTCAATGTATGATGTCACAATAAGGGACTTTTTGAAATGCCTCTTTTTAGACATTAACTTCTGGAAACCAAACATTGACAGAAGACAGCTGGAAGGTTTTTATTCACACTTCGAAGGATCCACAAAAGGATGCAAAAGGTGACTTTTACGTAATGTGTTTAAATATCGTCATAAACAAAACACGGAAAAGACAAGGAAGCCTGTCTTTTGCCCTTTTTGTTAGTGAAACCGGCTCCATTGGAAATGATTTAGATGTCATGTGAAGATTTCAGTTATTGTCGTTTGTCAGTAAAACGCTTGATGCTGGTCGAGGATTAACCCTCAGCAGCAAGAATAGTGACACATCTGACAGGAACTGCAGGTTCAGCTGCAGGATGGCATCTGGGATCAAAGACGTGTGTGTGTGTGTGTGTGTGTGTGTGTGTGTGTGTGTGTGTGTGTGTGTGTGTGTGTGTGTGTGTGTGTGTGTGTGTGTGTGTGTGTGTGTGTGTGTGTGTGTGTGTGTGTGTGTGTGTGTGTGTGTGTGTGTGTGTGTGTGGCCAGCAGCAGCTGTGTGCTAACGGTGTTTTACACTAATAGTAAAAGTGTTTTATTGGACACTTTACAGCCCCTGAAACCATTTTATAAATCCGGCAGCTGGCACAAAGGGACAGACCAATCAGGCACGAAGCGCTCAGCGTGAAGCGCTGCCGTGTCCCCGAACGACAGGAAAATTCTTCTGACTGCTGATAGGTTTTCATGAAACCCCACATGGGGGCTGCGTGTCCATGGCTGAGAGACTCTGAGGAATTCTGACAGTGTGACAGCACATTTTCAGCCAGTTACAGTAAATCTGCCTTCTAAACAGCAAGTACACACACACACACACACACACACACACACACACACACACACACACAGAATATGAATTACTGATGAACAGAAATCCAAAGAAAACCCATTTTCCCTTTCCAGAAGCCATCTATTACAGCCGTAACATTATGACCACTGAAAGTATTTTTCTTCTTCTCGTTTTATGATTTACCTTGAGAACCTGCATCCTGGTGTTTACGTGAAGGTAACTGTGGAAACTGCCTCCTGGTCATTAAACACTCACATAAAAGCAACACGGCCTTTCACTAGACACGTTTACTGACAGAACCAGTTGTTACGAACATTTGTTTCCATTCTAAAGACACGGAAGCTCAAACATACCCCGAGGTGTCAGTTTCAAACACAAGTAACTGTTTAAGTACCCTCTAAATACATTTTTAAATATCTTGAACCCATATTGAGGCTCAAACACACAACCAGGAAACATAAAGTCAGGATTCCTACCTGAAGGGAGACATTATAAACATGTTCAGCTCAATTTCTGAACCCAAAGCGTATCGCAGAGGTACTCAGCATTTCTTCATCCTGCATTGCTGCCAAGAGTCAAAAGCATCCTCAACTTTCAGATTTCTGCCACTAAAGAGTGTTTGTGTTTATTATTAAGACAAATCAGTTATTCTGTAGCTGTAAACTGGTTCCTGCTGCCTGATCCAACTGGGTTTGGGTGTTGCCCAGTCACCTCATGACTGACAGTCAGCTGGGAGGCAGAGATGAATGAATCCAGTAGATAGCAACACATGAACCTGGGTCTCCTACAGAAGAGTGCGAGGGGGAAAGAGACGCTGGTCAGTCAGA